CATGCTTCAACGAAGAATTACTCCGCATATGGGGAACATTCACACAACGTTTCAATTGAGAGAGCTTTTAATCGCTGAATGGGCAAATGTACCTCAACAAGACATTGACAATCTCATTTTGTCGATGCACGATAGATGTAGGGCCGTAATAAACCAGCGTGGAGGCCATACTTTGTACTGATTCCAATTTTTTTGTATTATGATTTTTTTTCGGGGTGCCAAAGAAGAGCCATTTTTTTTAGTTTTGCTTATATGCGCACTCAATATTCCCATATTGGCGGTACTGACGATGCCCAATAGGCTGAAACAGCTGTCTACCGGTGGCTCTTGAATTGGAATCCGTATGAGAATGATCAAAAAGTACTATCTATTTATTTTTTGATTTTCGTGGAATTATTTTCCAACAGCTTGGCTGCATTAACCTTTCTAGATTAAAAGTGCTTCCCTACATAATAATCCCAGTTTACAATGACAATAATTATCGCTATTCGAAACTAATATCCGAGAATGGTGATTGTTTTTATGAGACCGTGTAATTTGTAAGAAACAGTGAAAGGAACAATGACAATAAATAGAAATAGTGGGTAACGATGTTCGGTGCCAGCCGAAGGCTTTATGGAATCCTTTAGCTTAATTAATTATTGAGCTTTTCTCTTCCTCCTCTGTAATTGCCTCCATGTCCTTTTATAATTCCTATAATTGAACTGTCACTGGAAGTCTCTGATTATCCACACTGGTAAAAACTTTTTCGGTACATTTTGTACCGAAATGCTTCAAAAAAAATATTTACAATATTTGTACTCGACTATTAGTTGCTAAAGCTGATAAAATTTCAGCCCGATGAATTTTGTACTGTTTTTTTTTGCGGCACATTGGTTTATTCGTTTACGAAAAAAAATAGTCCTTTCTCTTTGTAAATTTCATACAATTTTTGTTCAATTATGGAAAAGTAGAAAGCCAGGAAGCTTTTTCTCAAAAACCCGAAAAATATTCCATTTTCGATTTGAGTTTTTTCTCAATCTATAATTTTTTATTTGTCATGAAATTTTCTACAAAAATGGTTTCATGCTTTTTTCTTGTAACACGAGAAACCACTCGCTAGCGAGTGTCGCGGACTGAATGAAACAATTTGTCTACCTAGGAAACACGCTAAATAGACTGAAGTCTGCACCAAGTCCGCGCAACAAACTCATTCAATTTTACACATAACAAAATGAACGTATTTGAGTTTGCGTATCAATATCGCAATATTCAACTAATTTTCAATTTCAACACAGTATAATCTTTTGAATTTTGGAATCTTCTAAGCCTAAGCATTCCAGAATATCTATTTCCAAATATAATACGTTACAGTCATATTTGAACTCATTCTTGTCTGCTGGAAGATTTTTTTCAATTACACAATTGGGGATAACACTAACAAAATTACTAGATACTGTCCTCTCTTATTCTTTGAAAAAAAAGTTCTCCATGTTTGTCCAATATAAAGTTTGGGTCAAGAACCACAAGTCAGTTTACATATTTTTGATCTCGATGTCGGACCGAAATTGTTCAAAATGAATTAACTCAAATTATTCGGTCTGTAAGTCGTGTCCTAGTCCTTGAAAAAAATTCTTGATATTATTGGTTGGTTCACCAAAAATGGACGATGTCCTACGCTTACTACCGTTTTTTGAACTTGATATACTTGGTCAGTAGCAAGCTTCCATAGTTTTTTTTTAATAATGGGGTCAATTATGTTCACCTCATAATTATTCATCATTTACTAAGGTAACAAAAGTCATTTTAATCTTGATTATTACTGTATATGAGGAGGCACTGAACGTGTCTGGATAAGATATTGTACAGTGAAACACGTGTCGCGGTTTTGTAAACTGTTTGGTGAAAATATTACGTTAAAGTGTTACGTTAATACTCATGATCGAGTCATCTTTGGCCAGAAAGACCTATGTCGATATTATCTGGGAATAGAAATGATATATTGATTCCTTTAATGTCTGTGAATTGCAAGGGGTGCAGCTGATTAGGGAGGCTTGGACAGCTGGTCCATTCATAAATATACAGTCATATGGCAAACGTCCCCTGCAAAACGAACAAACCTTAAAGTATCCAACAACTGATAGCATCGATTTCCAGATTTTGGTTAAAACTATTATTTATTTGACTTGTGAAAAGACCTTATCTGACAGCCAATAATAATGCTGATTGTAGTGAATACATAAATGAATTCAATTTTATATTATGTTGCAAATTATGGAGAGGAAAATTCAATCAAAAATAACTTTGAAAAATTGAAACGTTACTCTTAAAGCTATTCTATATTGTGAGTTGATAACTTTTTACTAACTTTTTCGTTGTTTCAAAAAAACGAACCACATGGTATTTTTGACATTTTTTTGTAGTAAAAAAGGGTACACTCTGAGGTTGAGTTTGAAAAATGCTACTCCCTATTTAATATCTTCAAGATGAATGAAGTAAAATAATGCATTAAAGAAGAGTAAGAGAATTTGTTAAAAATTTCAGTTTTTGAATTTTTTTCTTGAAAACTAATCAAACTTATCTTTTGTTTCTCGCTATATCAAGTTGTTTAACAATGATTCCATAAATGACGTCAAAATGCCAGCATTTTCAATATAATGGTCACATATTATGTTGTTATGTCATTAAAAAAATAATGTTATACTCTATGAACTAGTTTAAAAAATTGATGGTTCTTATTTGAAATGTTTGATTTGGATTCATTTTCGATTAGTATCTAAATCTAAAATTAAAGAAAAAATCATATGATTTTACCATAGCCTGTCCAAAACCTGAACATATTTTATTATACATGCACTAATGAACGTTTATTATGCAATGGTATATTTAACATTAAATTATCATCCTGGGGACAGGCTACAGAAGTGATAAGGGTTTTCTCATTGCAGAAAACTCGTTAGAATAATATTTGATGTTACATTCTGTTTAAAATCTGTTTTTCCGTTAATCAGCTGTCGCCCCCATACGAACGACAACTCTCAGAAGTTGAGAAATTGGTGCGTTAAGGGATACATTTACGAAACAAAATATTGTGAGGCTTAATGGCATATATCAATCATTACAACATTATTTTACTCACCCACAAACATGCCTATGAAATTAAAAAAATATTCACAAAGTTATAATTATATTATCGAACAGGTAATCAAAATCGAATTTCTGAAAAGATATAACACATGCTAATTATAAAAAATTTACAGAGTGGGTAGGTATCTCACATTTTTATATAGTTTTTATATATAATTCCCAAAATAAAATATATGTGGTTATCTATATGAGTGGACTGTAACTGTTCACTGACGAACTGGAAGAAAAAGTTCTCTCAAAACAGTTATTTTCATATAAACATTGAGTTACAAAGAAAAATACTTTTGAAATAAATACTGTCGGTAGCCAGGCGGTTCGACGTGGGTGCTTTGTTGACTGCCGTGTTGGTCGGTGGTTCAAGCCCTAGTCTGAACGATCGATTTTCACTTGCTATCGTCCAACCCGTGTTAGGAATCACACGTTAAAAGGTAAGACCTCGTTAATCCTCAGCGCGCACAAGTTTCGATTTCTGTGGGTTGTCGATCGTAGGGGCGCGACAGCTAGTTAACGGAAAAACAGATTTTTCAAACAGATTCGAAATGGTATTGAATCAGATATCATTCACAGGATTCCTCCACATGTAAGTGAAATTTTACTTCTTTCATTAATTATATTATGTAGGAATCCTGTGAATGATATCTGTTTCAATTTCATTACGAATTTTGGAATACAAACGGAACGGAAAAAAGTGTTTTACGTATATTCAGTGTTCATATAAAAGTATTTCACAAGTATTTTTCTTTCGTGTAATTCAATGTCTATATGAAAATAGCTGTTTCGAAAGGGCTTTTTTTTCAGCTTGTGTCTGAAAGTTACTTCTTTGCATAATCTACACATCTTGGTGTAGAGTTAGTTTTTGAAATTGATAGCATCCTTCCTTTCTTTGGAAGATTCTTGAAGATTTTGTATCAAGATGAAGAAGTAGAAAGCCAAAACGTTTCTTTCCAAAAAATCTATTTATCTATTATTCTGTTGCATATTGAAACTTCGTGGTGAATGAAAAAAATAGGCAACTAAACTGCAATAATTATAGCCACTTCAATTCTTTAATAAAACAAACTTTATGACACTATGAACAATTTTTCGTCAGTGTTAAACTTAGGTAGTTAAACTTAGGTATTAGAATTCCTTGTTGACATGCCACCCTAAATAATATATTATGAAATCTCTCTTTCTTCTGTCAAGGTTATTACTTTTGATGAAATTTCCATACTTTCAACAAATTTTTTTTTGGATGAGACACACTAGTATTAAGATAGAATTTATTCATATGATTCCTAATCTGATTAGAATTGTACATTTTGTAAATCTGCCTTTCAATTCAAATTCAGTTGGTTCATCTACGTTTTATAGTTGAATCTGATTGTATAAACAGTCGATTCCCCAATAAAATTCAATCAGAATTTCAATTAGATTCTGAAATTTGAACAAAGAAATCTTATGTATTACCAAGATGTAATTAATTAAAACAATAATTCAATGCAGTTTGATGCAGTGAATGCTAACAGGGTTTCCTAGAATTGAATGCGAACATTTTTATATATATTTTTCAAATCTTTGAAAGAACTATTTGGAATGGTTCAGGTTCTCAAAATTATTTGTACATAAATTGTTGAAATACTTTTTTGAAACATGATAGGAGTATCCACCGTTTATTAACTACATATGTCTTGAAAAGCAATCCCGTATCTTATCTTGTTTGATGGGGAACACCTGTTTTTATCACTTTTGTAGGTATTTTTACTGTGAAGTAAAACTAGGGATAATAAAATATACGCAAGTGTTGACAGAAGTTATGTTAATCATTTGAAAAGTATTTATGACAAACATGTTCTTCAAAATATTTACCAATTCCCAATTTTTTTTCTTTGCAGAGAGAATTTAGCAAACGACACATACCTTTTGTCGCAAATGGACAATGACCAGTATGTGCCGATTTGGACAATAGCGAATTTCAATCAAGTAAAAAAGCTCTCCAAGGACATTAAGCTGATAACAGAAGTATTGCGTGAATCACCCAACGTTCAGGTAGACGAAGAAGGAATCAAAGTTCGTCCTAATCACAAACGGTGTATCGTCATATTGCGCGAAATTCCAGACACTACCCCAGTAGAGGATGTCAGGGTAAGATATTCTTTGAAAGACATTTACGAATCTGCCTTGCATATAGAACATAAATTAAATAAAATAAATCATTGTGACACGACAGACCTGAATACTGAAATATTGCAATGAAATAATTTTAAAAACTTGTCTAATTAACAAAAACAAGACATGAATAAAAACAATGATTAACAAGAACAAGACAAAAAACCAATCAATGGTTCATTGTCAATCTAAATTAGGTTTTTGGGTCCCAATTCCTTGATTTGAATATTTCGGGCGGAAGGACTTCGGTCGATAGCCAGTTGAACAAAATTGTAATTTTGTTCAATAAATTACAATTATTATTATTATTATCAATGAATAAAAAAACCTATTGAGATGCCTAATATCAGTGTCTTTCTAAAGCTTCTATTGCTGCATTGGCAATCAGCAGTTGGTCACATAACTGTTGAAACTTCTGTTTTTCTGAAGGTCATAAATACATAGATGCATCAAGTTGGTTCACTTCAAATCCCAATATTTTCCAAACTTATCAACTGGTATCTACCACCTCATTACTTCTATCGCATGCATTTTATTTGAATGATACATTTCAATAAGCAAATTATTTCAGAACTTATTTTCTGGAGAGAATTGCCCCCGCGTTGTCTCTTGTGAGTTCGCTCACAATAGCAATTGGTATGTGACTTTTGAATCGGACGAAGACGCCCAAAAAGCATATGGATATTTAAGGGAGGAGGTGAGAGAATTCCAAGGGAAGCCGATCATGGCCAGGATAAAAGCCAAACGGATGAATAGGGTGACTGTACCGCCTGTAAATGCAGTAAAAAACGGGTTCAGGGTTCCAACAGCATCTCCTACTGCTGTATACGATCCATCGGCCTTCCCTCCTGGTCAGCAGAGGTTCCTTTATGCAAACGGCACTCCGGGGCAACCTGTCCCCGCCTACAACCATGTTTTATATGTGAGTTTTCTTTGTTCAGATTTTTATGTTGTTGATACTGTAAATATGTGTTATGTGAGCAACAGTGATTTTTTTAAGAGAGAAAAGATATTGGTAACGCTCCACTAGAAAATCCAATGGAGGATTTGGTTTTCAGCAGAGTATCTTGAGTTCAAATGAAAAATTGATTGCTGAAACAAATATTTCATTTTTCTGCAAAATGAGAATACTGAAAAACAGTATTTTTCCTTCTCACTGTCAAGTCAAAGGACAAAGAACCTATCATCGCTCACTTCTTCATAAACATCACTATCAAATGCTGTATTGTCTAGAGTCCAGATAACATTAGTTTTGAGTTATTTCTGAGCAAATTCCTCAAATTTAATCACTGTTCTTCCTTCCAAAAAAATTACTACACATTTTTTTGTGATGTAGAGTGGATTTATTATGTCAAATGTTCAAATTTGTCAAGAATTGGTAGTTTACAGTTGCCAAATTTTTCACACAAAGAGCAACTTGATCTTCGTGTAAATAAGATACTAGTTGTGGTTGGTAAAATACTACCATTTTTTACCAAAATTAATTGAGAACAAGTCATTGTTACCCAACGACGTTACTGTGTTCATTTTTTTCTGATCCCAAAATTTCAAAACTTAAATTATCAGAATTTGCATTAAAATTGTTTTCAAAAGACATTTTTAGATTTTGTAGGCACACGTGCTTCTTCCTGCATATTAGCTGACCATTTTTTCTTATTATATATTACTTTGGAATGTGACCACTTGTCCACAAACTATAAGTTGCAGAAACAACATTCATTTATTTAGTGCTAGAATAACATATTTGAGTAATACTTTAAATAATATGCCCTGATTTGAAAGGAAACATGTCTTACAGTTCTGTAAAATGTTTAGTGAGACTTGAATACTTTTATCAAGGATTTTCATAGAGCATAATTCAACACATATTCCTTTCAATATATCAACCTCTCAGTGTATAATAATTGAATTCCAGTTTTCATTCCTGTATCTTTCATTTGACATATTTTATTTTCAACATTATACCTTTTCAATGTGTATAATATACGCCCTCTTTTAGAATTGCTTGTTGACAAATCCAAAAACCATTCAATTGTTCATATCACCTAAGAAATGTTGGCCTTTCAGGGTCCATAAAAATGAAACAATAGAACATATATCTCGATTATTGTTATTAATTGAGTCATTTTTCAAATCGCAATGCAAAACAGTATTGCAGTATCAAATATGATAGCAATAGCAACAAAGTTAAAACCTTGATACCAATGTATTTTTGAATCCTGATCAATCTTGCAGCAATTTATATTTAATCAACAATCTCTTACAGCCTCCTTACCCTCAGCAGCAGTACTTTACGTCATTACCTTGGGCTCCAGCTGCTGCAGGTTTTTTTGACCTGAGCAACGTGTTTAATGCTAACGGACTGTCTCCCCAAAACTTCAAACACTCCCATTATCGCACAAATCAAAACAGATCTCGCAAGCAATCGAGAGGTGCAGTACATAGTGGTGGCGACCAATCTTCACAGGGTTCCTCCCAAGGTGAGAAATTTGAAATTGTAATAGTCAAAACACGATTGTTTTCTTTTTTTTCTTTTGAATCATCAGGTGGCAACGGAAACAGTGGAGGACAAGGCGGCTCTAGATCGTCAACTTCTCACCAAGGTAATCGTTCAAATTCTCCGCAAACAGCAAGTAACAAGTCCAGTTCCGCCAAAAGTTTGGAGGGGGCCATTCCGAAAAATAGCCACCCTCACATTTTAAATGATGATATTCACATAGCAAGCAACACTGTCCCGATGGGTGAGTTTTATTTATTTTTTTAATGACATTGTAAAGTTCGTTAGGGGACGTTCAAGTATTACGTAAGCACCATAGAGGGGCTGGGGGGCCTTTGGTTTGCTTATTTTTGATGACATTGGGGGCGAGTGAAGCCTAGATGGTGATTAAGTTAGCAGTAGTTATTTATTTTTTTACACATATGGCAACCCACACATTGTATATGTTTGAAAAATGCAACAATGTACATGAGCACGGAAGGGGGGGGTAAGAGCTTTGTTTACTATCGCTGACAAGATTGATGGGGGGTAAATAATTGTTATAAATATGCTTATGTAATACTTGAACAGCCCCTTATCAGTTAGATGAAAGAGATTCATGAATTGGATCATTTTATTACTTCTTGGGAAAATAAATCTTAATTACTATAATTTTAATCAAAAAAGAATTTTCCTTTTTAATTAATTAAAATTTCTTGAGACGGAAACATTTATAATTGAAAAATGATCACCCTCTTATTTTTAGTTAATTTTTGACAACCTTCGCAATGAAGTTTCAACAAGTTTTGTTCTCAGACTGTAGTCAATGTTTTTCAATTTCGTTATATAATGTGATACTTTTAAAAACTGTGATAATTGTCAGACATTATTTCCATATATAATGTTATACTGTTGCCATATTGAATTTGATGAAAATGGCTCCTACGCCGTCATTTTGAATGGAAATGGCCACATGTGTTATATTGTTGAGAAGAGAATTTTATATTCGATCAAAAATATATACAGAATCACACGTTAAAAGGTAAAACCTTGTTAATCCTCAGCGCACACAAGTTTCTACTTCTGATCTGGCTTTGATCTGTATCTTTCATATTTTTTTACCTCATAAACAATTGAATGGCAACTACTTACATGATTTCATTGTCACCTGTTCTAGCAAAATATAACTTTAACTGAGTTTTATGAATTTATTATTTTACGAAGAAGAGTTAGATCATTTCAATGATCTGCCAAATAGTATTGAAAATAATTTAAGTCTTGCTAATAGTATTGTCATTTCTTGAGATTGTTGAACTTTGTTCAAGCGTTTCTCAACATTTCAATTAAACAAAATTTTCTGAGCCTGACGTTTTTTTCTAGCCATACCGATTATGCATCCAGAAATGATGGATATGTACAGGTATATGCAAGTTCCTGTATCAACGAAAGATGTAGTCGCTCCCAGACACCGAAGGAAAAAGCGTGATGAAGAAAACGGTACAAATGGACAGTCAGTTCAAACACAGGCTAATGATACTGCCGGCACGAGAGATGCTCAGTTTGATTTGATGCAAGCTGCCTTTCCACCTCTACGAGGTAATTGAAATATGTTTTATCCAACTTATAATGAGAACATTTATCTTTCAAATAGGGCTTCTATTGAAAGTGTTAGAACTGAATCAAACGGAACAGTAAAAAAATTTTGTCAGCTGTTTTTTTTTTTTGAATAATTATGGTACATAAGTTTCTCGGTCTATAATAATCAGGCCTCAAAATATTACTCTCAGAAATTTAGTTGTACAATTCAACCGTGGAACACACTAGTACCATCATCAGAAGAAAAAAATCCTTAATAATACTACATAACATATTACTCTGCTATAACACAAGTGTTCTTACCTTTAAAGTATAGATAGAATAATTTACTTTTCTTGCCATTTCTGAAATTAAACTAAAAAATCTGAAATTGGTGAGGTGAACATTTTCTTGGAGGATAGTTTCATCACCTCTTGTGCAGAAGATAGTCATACTTCAGAAATCAAACAGGGAGTTCCTCAAGGATGCATACTTGAGCATTTACTTTTTTATATATGCTGACGGTTTGATGAAATACACAGTCACAAAAGTTTGGGTAATTGCATATGCAGATGATACAAACTTTCGTGCGACTGCACAAAATTCAGTATCTCATAAATGGTTCGTAAATTATTTTTATTATTATTTTCATCACCTATGTTTTTTCTTACAGGTGGTAGAGTAAATGGCCGTACGAATGTTACAAGACTGGATGCCGGTAGTCAAGCGACCCCAAAACAAGCGACCGTAGCTAATTCCGTTGCAGAAGCAACTCAGCCTTCTTTGCCCGAGTCCCCGCAGGGGCAAGGACTTTGGGGGGAGAATAGACTTTCCGACGTCGTCAAAGGAATGACAAAGCCCAAAAGAAATGGTAGCAGTAAGGGTTCCAGCAGCGGAGGAGATAACGACTCTCCTAGAGCTGTTTCCCCTCAGACTTATTCAAAGTGCAATCAGACGGTGAGGCAACCGTCGACAGATATGCCAGAACTCAGGGATGCTTCGACTGAGAGTGCAGACGCTCAGCTGAGCTCTGTTACGATGACGCCTCCTAGTTCTCCAGAAGAGTGAGTATATGATTGTTTGAATTTTATGTGGTAGCTTTTATCATTTAGCCCGATGGGTTCCGAAAGATAAGTAATATCTTATCAAATTGGTTAGACTCATTTCCAAAATATTAATACTATAACAGCTAATGAATTTAGACCCATTGATACAATACCACCATTAGACAAGTTACTAGAAATTACTATCCTTGACAAGCTATTTAAATTTATTAATGACAATCGGAGTTTACAAAAAAACATTCAGTGAACCAGTTCGAGATAGACATGTTGTTACTGTTCACTATTTAGAACGGGCATTTGAGACAATAGAAATATCTTTCATATATGTTTAGGAAATATTTGAATTGTTCAAGTATAAAAAAGGATTTGTATTATTTAATGATAGCTATATATCTATATTTGCTCAAAAATTCACTAGATCTTACAGATCAACAAAATGAAATGTTTAGAAATACAAACGAGAAATCATTAATTTGAAACATTTTTCGTATGTTATGAAGATATGAACCATAAGAACCATGAATAAGTTCCAAAAAATATATTTTTAAACGCTAGCGTGGTTATAAAGTAAGCCTTTTATTTGCTGCTTCAATTTAATTAAGTACTTCATTTCCTGTCGTTCATTATAATTATAGAAAGATATATATAATATTACTGGAGTTTTTTCCCAACACCAAATCGCTATTTTTAACACCTCGACACGTGTTTCGATCACCAAGTGATCATCTTCAAGAGGAAGATTGAACTAGAAACTATCGCGAAGCTAACGCTATTAGCGATGATCACTTGGTGATCGAAACACATGTCGAGGTGTTAAAAATAGCAATTTGGTGTTGGGAAAAAAACTCCAGTAATATTCATTACTACACCAAAGTTTCCAAATAGTGCATCAAAGATATATATGTTATTAATTTTTTTTGTTTTTTTTCTTAAGGTTAGTAACGGCTCTCCCCATCAAATGTACCATGGCAGACAAATCCACTAAAACAGATGATGTCCTACTCAATGGTGATTTGGACCTGCCCTGTCCTACCACTACAAACGCTGCCACTATGACTACAGTTGTGCCAACCGAAGCCCCGTCCCGTTCTGGGGCCGTCGTGACCGCTACTTCCGGTACGAAGAATCAAGTATCAGTGCACAGACAAGATTCTAGATCAGAAGCATCTAAGAATGTGTCAATATCGCCTCCACCTGCTCAGGTAAGTGACACTGGATATGGAATTTTTTTATTTTGTTGATTGCATGCTGTTGCAAGTCGCTGGGCTAGGAAAAGTAAATTTTCAAGTAACAAAAATACTCTCAAGTAATTCATACTTTGCATAGAAGGACTGATAGAAAAAAATTCAATGCCGCAGCTATATGTTTGACTTCCCACCATATTGGTTAAGTGTTTTTTTTTGTTTCAACCAAGACTCTTCCCACAACTGACTACGTACAATTCCCTAATGGCATTGTGAACCTTTTTTTATAGTAACTGGGCAACCTTTTTTTCTAAACAAATTTCTTGCATGGAAACTGGTTTCGTTTGACCATATACCTATTGAAAGTCGTCTGCATAAAATTTTGCTCTGATAATAAATAAATTAATGACTCTGAATTGGTTATTAATGGTTTTTACATTATTATGTCCTCATATTCGATTCAGAAATGTTGAGTTTGACAGGTAAATAATTACACCAATAAAAAGCGTGTCGCTTATATAATTCACAGCTGGTAGATTTACTAGCTTGCTTTCATAATGAAACTGATGACTGGTAAAGTATAAATACTCCAAAAAATTGCTCCCTTTGCGGTAAAAACAACTATTTAACAACAAATATAGCGTTATAGTTATCATACAAGCTCTCTTTTCAGGATTCGTAAATTTGATAAACGTTTCAAATTATTGTGTCTCGTGTCTCGGTCATGGTTGCCAGATTGTTCTTTTTTTTTTATTTTGAATGTGGCAGACCATCCAGGCAGACCATCTGAATTCATCAAGTTTCTATCATTGCCAATAGATATACTATATGTTGAGATACTATTTAATCTCCCTTGAGAAAAAAATTAATAATGATAGGTTGATACTGAGATATGTCATCAATAAAAAACATATTAGATTTTATTTTATTCATTTTTCATTCAAAACTTTCAGGACTTTTCTGGTAATCCACCTCGCATGAGCTACGCGCAAGTGGCTCAACATTTCAAGGAAGCAAATGCTCAAAAAGAAAAACAAGCCAAGGAAAAACAAATCGAGGCGCCAGCAGCCCCAGTTTCACAAACAAAACCAGCCCCACTGATAACAAATCACAATAATGGCAGCAATGTCGTTCGGGCTCAACCTGAACGTGAGAATAGAGATTCCAGAGGTGAGTAGTTAGGATACTACAAAATTACGAGGTTCTGCAGTCTTGTACTAATTGTTCTATTTTTATCTAAAAGATTTATTATTCTGGCTCTTGTCAATTTTCTGTTAAACCTGAAAAACCTATAGAACTCGAGGAATCACATGTTTTTCAAAATTTCTGGAATATATCAGGACATTATCTATATGAGAGTGAAGATATTGACGATTTCGTCAATTTTTATGTCATATGCTAATTTTTTTTAATTTTCAAAAGTTGCAAAAGTGCCTGGCTTGTCATACATTTACATTGTATTTAAAATGGACAACAATTTACTCTACTGTATCAAATACCTCGCAATTGTCAGTATTGGCACTTGTTATATGTTTCCACGTCTTCATTTATAAAATAATTTTTTTCGATAGATAACGGTCAGCAACGAGCAGAATTGGGAGGGAATCAGCACCGGTTCAACGGGACTAACCGCGGAGGCGGCTCGAGGCCCGCTTATGACAGGTCTCAACGCAGGAGGACCGACACCAGGACGTCTCAGCTTCGCGATTTTGTGAACCCCCGCTCACCCAAGTAACACGCCGGGGGAGGAACTGCAGTGCGAACGACATGAACAGTGCGTAGAAGGGTGTCGTCGCAAAAAATATTTATTGAACGGTGCGTGAGGTATAATACTGCCCCAAAAAACTAATTGGCATTTAGGTGTACGTGTGTACATTATGATTTCACTTCTATTGTGCGAGTCATATGTTCCTAGCCGACTGTTGAATATTGATATGTTTAAAACAAATTTAAATATTAGTGCTGTACGATGCAAGTTGCACGACTGTGATTGGCCCATTCTGTCTTTTTGTTGATGCGGCTTCCTTGAACTCTCTTAACGTCTCTCCATGTGTACAGGCTAATGTTGAAAGATTATTTTTGACAAATGATTCATTACCATTTTATCGTATAAGCTGTATAGAGGGAGTGTAGGACTAATGTATATTATTGTTGGGTTTTTTAAAACTATTTTGGTTGCGCATTCCTCTGTTGCTCAGTCACGTGCGGGAATTTTTTTCATTGTTGCCTGCTGGACGGCCTGCCGTGTTTGTGGAAGAGGATTTACCGACTTTGCCTTGTCGGTATATTCATTGCACTGTTCGATGAGAGTCTCTTGTAAATAAAATACTCTCGATCGACAGCTCCGCTAGACAAATTATTTAATAAAGGATGCGCTAAAATGTCAGGGTCATGTTGGAAAACTTTCTTGTTGTTCATTTCTCAGAAGCTTTTATTTTTCGTGTAAGGAGGTGCATTGTCTATAGCCCTGGAGGAAACAATATAAACATAGTTTATATAAAGTCCACAAAATCATGTGACCTATAAAACGAAACTATTAGATACATATAGCTTCAAGGTTCTTTACTATGTACGCCTAACAAATCATACAAATCCTTAAAAATTGTTTAGGTTCGAATGACTTCAAATTTTTGTCATTACATTTTCTATATTCTCAACACTTTAAGCATTCAAACCACCTATGTCAACTTATCAGGCTATCCATAAACATCAACATTTGAAATTTGATTATCAAATTTTGAGTTACAAACAATGCACTTTTTATGAAGTATCCTAATTTTCTGAGAAGTCAATGATGAAGTTTTCCATACGGTAAAGATTTGTGGAGGGCACTGTATAAATGAAGAAAAAAATTTATTTTGTAAAATTGATGGGTATTGATATTTGCATGTATATTGACTGAATGTGAAGCGTTCTCCGACACATGAAAACCCTGCTGGTTTTCACCGGTGCGCCTGCATATCACATTACTGGCGCCCAACGTGGGGCATCTTTATCCAAATTGGATATTTTGTTTTTCTGTTGAATTTTTAGTTGGTAATTTCGCAATATGGACATTTAAGGCTCACCATTCCGTGATAACCAAAGGCTACATTGGAACATTTCACATTATTCTCGGGTATCTCCAAGGCAGCTTATACTTTTTACAGGTTTGTTTGGTTGGTATCGCGGGTAGCAGTTCTCGCTTGTCCATCAACGTGTCAGGGTCTGCACGAGGTGAGTGATTGTAGCCCCTCGGCTATGTGTTTTATGCCTTATCTTATAATCAAAAGTGGCATGCTAATATTTCCCAGTGTACAGGAAATTTGTGCGAAATTTTATAATTTGACAAATGACTTGAGCATTTTTCAAGTTAACCAAGTTTTCACCTTCGGCTATTTGATATAGTCACCTAGAACGTGTCCAAAAACTTGACGTTTATCAGTAAGGCATTCCAGTATTATGCGTTACTAGAAATTATGATGTCGACTGATAACTGGAAAAAACCTCTTGATTGAAATGTCTCGGAAATTATTGTTTTGTGTCCTCGGTTCTCCTCAAGCTCATAGTTTCTGAGTCTTTCAATATTACATTTTATATTTGTAATATATTTCCGATTCCATTTAATTTTCTGTCGAACTTTTTCCCTGATGAAGTGGGGAATGATTACTGATTTATTTGCGAGATTCAATCACCCAGTATAGTGAATGGACTAATGATACATTTTAAGTTGTATTGTTACTTATAGGCTGTGTATGTACATAACGAACTCACAGTGTCGGAGCAACGGTGTGGATTGCGTGATATTTCAGTTATCAGTATGTAACTTACTTTAAGACTGTTTGCTGGCTACCTTGTAGATTGTTATTTTTGTTGTATTATGTTCTGAAACGCCGAGGTTACGCATTCCACTGAATCTGACTCACATTTTGCTATGATATATCTTTAAAAATGTTGATGCTTGACGTGAAAGCATTGATATCGGTGTTTGAGATGCGACATTACCAGTCGAATAAGGTGGACTAGTTTTTGAAATGTATTCAATATTTCTTTCTGTTGAATTGCTCACAGAGATACTGCTTAAATTTATAATTTTTGCAAAACGAATATAAGTTGGCACATTTGCTGTCAAAACGTGTTCAGGTGTATGAAGCCGGTTCTCACTTTGCGAAATAGTCGCTCACTTTGTAAATTGGTTTTTTGAGTTATTCGTTCTGCCCCAATTGGAAAAAATTATTCGGGAGACGTGGAACATCCAAAACAAGTACTTTTTCCAATCACCAGACGAGACCTAACCTAATTTGCGTCTTCGGGAGATGAAAAAGACGCCAACCTTGGTTGGTGAAACACTCATCAAGAGTATTGTATTTCTGGTGATTTGAAAAAGTGCCTGTTTTTGCAAGAGAATCTAGTGTGAGAGGAGCAGATAACTGACTGAGTCTACCTTGAAACTCAATCCACAAATAAAAAAGATTTATTATTTTACAAAAAATTCCTGGAAAACATTACTTGAAATTTGAAAGTCAAATGAAAACATGAAGTATATTTAAATACCTCTCTTTGCCAGGAATCTACTTTTTTTCACATCGTGATTTGAAACACTGTATTTATTCATTGGGATATGAAACTGTTGAGCCTATTGCAATGATTGAGTTTTGTGGAGAAAAAATACCAACCTTTTATGGCTTTCTGATTCGTTTTTAATTTTTTTTTAAGAAATCAATGTTCATATTACAAATTTAACATTTATAGGCAAATCATCAAACAGGTCTTTTACAGGTAGACTCAGTAGGCCATTTCTACCCTTGTCTCTAAATTTTTTCCAACTAGTAGAAGAATATCTGAAAAACACTGAAATCCATAAAAATGACTTGAAGTAATCAATAGATTATCTTGTTCAAAATAAAACTGACGTAAGCCAAGTGATTAGGAGATATGCTAAGGAAAATATTCCCCAAGCATTAAACACTGTTCATGGCGTTGTGTAGCTTAGCAATATACAGTCCTATGTAACTATGACTTTTTTGCATTTGTAACATTCAAATTCAGTTTATTGTTCGTCACATTGTTCCACGAGGCGATTTTGTAAATTTCTAAGAAGAAATCTATTCTGAAGTTTTTGTTACCACTATTCAAAGTACAAGTGAGAGAGTAAATTCATTGAGATGAGTATTGTGGAGCCAGAAGATTCTATGTTAAATTGAAACACGTTTCTCGGTTTTGTAACCTTCCAAGAGTAAATCTTACATTGAAGTGTGTTTCTTGTATATGAGAAAGAAATGAAAAACCATTATGAATACATATCAAAAGCACAATGTCCACTTGTCCAATGACTTGACACCGAAAAATTAAAAAACTTGCTTTGATAATATTTATATCAGAAAAATTGATATAATCCATTATAAAACATAAGTCAAAGAATATGGTTCCTATCAGGAATAGTAGGTTTTGTTTGATGAAGAAACAAATATTTCAGGGTATTTCCATTTAATTTTTGTGACTGCAAAGTCAGTGTATATATTAGCCTAATGATAAGTTTATTTGTCCCAAGAAAAAGTAAAAAAAAAAATTAAAAAAGGGACAAGTATATATTTGCTGTGAATTTTAAAAAAATGTAAGGTCTCTATTTTTTAAGTTGTACAAAAGTTAAGTGAATTTATGGCCTTCGATAAAAAAAAAGTCTGATATCAACTTCCGGTTATTGCATTGAAGTGCTTCGACACTTATCCAGATTATGTGTTTTACAATTACAGGTACATAGTTTTGAAAGTTGATGAAGTGATATATTGATCCTTCTAGAAGTAAGTTTCAAATTGTGTGTGATAATATGTAATTGATGAAATTCTAAAACTAATCAAGAAATTTAATGTTTTTTTATACGCATGAATTATTTTTTGTTTGATTTTATATATCATTGTTTTTATCACATTGAGATAATTCATTTAAAAATGTTCCATCATATGTTTTTCTGGAAAGTTGGGTAAATCAAGAGTTTGGTAAAATGGTGTTTGTAGGGGGAATCCAGAGTGGGCAAACCCCTGACTATATATATAGGGTGAGTTAAAAGTCTCTGAACTGGCAAATAAATCTTGTTTTTCCAAATTTGGTGTATCTATGTACGGTAATGAACAGCAAAATTGATTATAATGCCAACTTTCGTGGTACTTTCTTCTATTCTAGGCGGAAATGGCATTAATTTTCTTTTTTATTAAATAGAACACACCGAGATTTTTTTTCTCGAAAAAGCCATAAAAACGTACAACCAAAGATACCGATATTTCAAAATAACCCGGAGGAATAGTTTTAAAAGAAATTGAAAACAAATTGGCACATCTTCACCTTCAAACAAATGTGTAGTTGACATATCAAATTTGCTTTGCAGAAATCGGAAATATTTGACTGGAAACGAACATTTGGCTTACCCTGTATATACGTGTCTTGCTCTCTTCAAAACAGTACTCTGTATAAGCTACAGCTTTGGTAGAAGTATTTTTGCCCATAATTAGGCTTTCTGTAATGAAATAAGTCACTGCACAACTCATTATTTTTAAATTTAAAGTTATGGAGAAACATTTTTGAAAAGAGGTGGTCATACATACGTAAAAACATTTTGTATACTGTAAAAAGAGATTTTAATATTAAGTCGACAAAATTCTCTAAAAACTTTTTATACACTGAATCTAAACCAGTCTCAAAATTGACCCATTTACTTTAACATTTTGGGATGATGTAATCTAAAACTGGAAAACATGTATTGTTTCTTCAAAATCCATTTCGAATTATTATTATACAGAGGTCTGCATGAAATCTGCATACAAAAAGTCATGGGGAAATTATTGCATTATTGAAAATATTTGCCTATGTAATTGTGCAGAGATATTGAATCTGAAATAAAAATGAACCATAAAATGCATCAGAATAGACCTTTGTCAGTTGCTTGATGAGTTGAAGATATTTTTTTCTCAAAAAGTACCATCTTTTGAATTTCTCCAGTCTAATAAAAATAATTTTACTGAATCTCAACTGTGAATTTGAATTTTAAAATTATTCAAGATTGAATAGGTTTTGAATCAAGATCGTAATTGGAATCATCACAAAGCTTGTGATCTTGACTCGATTGGACATTATTTCGAGATTTTTTTTGGAAATATTTATTTTTTCATACGTACGTTTTCTCGAAACATTCTTCAGACACGTTTTGGTATCCCATATAATTTTATTACCGCTGAGAAATTATCATAACGTCATGTCTGCAGATTGTTTATTTTGAGAATATATGAACTCGTTAAATAAGAGAAATCCTGCTTTGCTGCTAGAAGGTATCAATTATATCACAATTCATCGACTGAAATATTTTTTTGAAAGATTGTTTTCCAAGAATAACAGAGTTATTCATAAGCGACTAAATGGACGACTAGAAACCTAACACAGATAAAATTTTGGAAAACCAGATATATCTTCTGAAGGCATTTGTCACAGAATACCTTTATAGGAAAGACCCTAATTTGAAGGCACACTGATTGTTGAGGGGCGAGTTTCTGTGACCTATATTGTATGTTAGGGATGTTTAATGTGATTTTTAGAGGTCAATTTAAATATTTCAAAATTCATTACAAATAATGTAAGAAGATGAATATTTCGAAATGAAATCTCGAAATATTAATCTCTCCTAACTACTTCCTGCCGAAACTATTTCCCCGGCTAATACCTCGCTGGATATTGAATTACATCTGACAGACATTTATGTAAGATTCCTCGCAGAGGCTAGTCTCGTCATGCTGAAATTATTAGAGTAGATCATCTACTGATCGTTTTCGAGGTATTACTTCTCGTCAGTGTAGGAAAGCATGGTACTGCTGCTGGATAAACGAGAAACATCTGAAAGGTTAACCTTTGTACATTTATCCAGAACCTGCTGTGTAGGTTGTTGGGAGAGATGATTATTTTCAGATTTTATTTCGAAATATTTATTTTCTGGTACATACGTATCTTTTCTCGATAGTCTTCAGACACGTTTTGGTATCACATAATTTTATTGCCGCTGATGAATTATCACAATGTCATGTCTGCAGATTGTTAAGCCAGTATTTTAACTAAGTTAGGCTTTGTTTTACCATCTTCACATTCATTAACGACTCAACAAAATTTCTAGGTTGACAATTGTCATCCTTGAGTTGAATTTTTGCACAATACTCGTTTGAACATCTGAAAATACAGTTCTCCTGCTTCAAAATGCATTTTGATTTTTTTAGATATCATGTTTGAAATTTATTAGACTTGAGTTTTTTTATGTAAAATATGTTAATTTTTGAATCCTTGAACCCCATTACACTAAATCTCAAATCCAAAGTTCTTTTTGGTATTAGGGAGTTTGGGGTTATTAGAATGGATTTATTTGGTATAGGGTATGGGTCTGGGCGTTTGAAGATCTATAAAAATACTAACTTTTAAACAAAATAAGATATCTTAAAAATTAGATGCCAGAAGGTGAAGAGTATTTTCAGATATATATACAAGCTTTGTGCAAAAAAAACACTTTGTCATATAATATAACAACATACTTTAGAAAATTATAGTCTAGTGTCTGGTTCTGAAAAATGTTTATTTGTGCAATCGAAAAATTTGCAACTGTAGAAGATAAGTGGAGTGTGTTACAACGGTGCAACTTTTTGATTATATGCTATCTTTATTTTTGTGTGCAAGTTTCTATTATTATAGGTAATAACTATTCATCATTATTATATTTGTTCTGCTTGCGGGGGTGTTACACTTTTATCAGTAATGCTCAACACATTCTTTTTACTAAGTACCGATACTTTGCAAATTCTGTAGCTTTGCTACTTACTAAGTATATTTTAAGAATCGTTGGGGTTTTACTATTTACTACGAAAAAAACAGTTTTAGAATTCGTTTTTTATTTCACAACAATTTTTAACAGGCTGGATTTTAGACAGTGTCTGTACTTTTATGATAAAAATTTGCACGCTAAAATTCCACTGTAACATATTTCGATAAATGAACGTTTTTTTTTCTAGTCTAATGTTTTTGTATGTATATTCGATTATTTTGATGTGTACGTTAAGTTTGAGATGATAAAGCAGGTGATGGGGTTTTTACTTAGAACTTAGTTATAATTTTTGCAATTAAGATATTGAATACGGTTTAACTCGTCACCTCATGTTGATAAGTTGAACACCCTGTCTGAAGTCCAAAATCACTTTCACCCCTGCTTTATTTATATGGTTTCTGAGCTGTATCCATTAAGCTTTCTGATGTTGCATATTAAAATTGTTAAAATATATTTCTCATTATTTTTATTCTTGTTATAATTGAATTTTTACTTTTCAGATATTTCTTGAAGGTCTATAAGACCACGTCTGAATTGATTTGGCATTGTTTATGAATCGTCATGCCTCTATTAATTCGATTCGGAAATATCGAATTAGACAGAAAATTTACTTGAAAAAAGGTTGGTTGCGTAAGAGAATAAATTTTTTCTTAAAAAAAAAAACAATTGTTTTCTTGCTGGCGCGACATTTCGAATTTTGTGTTGGTGTTGTCTCGGAAATTTTGGTTGTTTGCAATGTTTTTTATTTTTTTTTTAATATGTATCTAATATGTCTGATGGTTTTTAAAATAGTAGTATTATCAACACGAAAAAACTACTTTTCGAGCCCTAAAGAATTTAATTAAATTCTAAACGTCGGCCCAACCAACCTTTTTTCAGAAAAATTATTGGATCACTAAACTAGTAAACAGAAAAATTTAAGGTGGCGTTGGAGGATATTGCCAAAATTTTCTCAATCTGCCACACAATTATAATTAACACTTCCAAAATACAAGTCATGAAATTATAAAACACAATTCATATCATTCAATATTTGTTTGGTGGTATATTGATGTGAAAATAGTAAGTGTTGTCTAATTACTGTTCATATATAACAAAGAAGTGAATTAAACAAGAACAAGGTACCTCATCATATTTTCCAATCTTCTCATGTCAACACTATTAGAATCAAAAAAACTGGAATCGTAATATAAGATGTTTTGTTCCCATTATCATTGCCGAAAAAAGTTTTTGTGATTAATCGAATACTATCTCATTTACCAAAAAGATGAGTACATAAATCCTTTATTCTGTAGAAAATATGGTGGTAAAGAATGATAAGGTTTGTTGAGGAAAAAAGGAACGTTTAGATCTAGTATTACATGATTAAATTAAAAAAAATAGAAAAAAAGCACTGTCTACCTTACTGATGGCTCGGTTATTTCTCAACTTTTTCAAGGCTGTTGATGCTTGGGGGTTAAAGAAAAGGTCATTTCACTGCAAGGAAGCACCTTGGTTGTTCCGACCTACTCCAGCTTAAGTTCTTGCGTAACACCCTCGGGGAGGTGTACTACAGTGTGTCTTCACAGAGCACAGTAATTGTAACTATATATGAAGTGAAAGCAAAAAATTTGCGACAATTTGACGTCATTTGCGATGTGTAATCTTCGGGAGTAGTTCTTGTACTGACTCTCCGGTCGTCCTGTGACCTTAAATGTTCAATCGCATTATACTAGAAACGCTAGTACTGATTACCATTCAACGATAATAAGTATCACTACTAAATTTACAAAATACGAGACTTCTGCAACATAGATTAACGTACTTGTGACGCACTGAGTCAAAAATGCTTTATTGTCATAAAATTTTAGGTTTTGTTGACAAAGCAGGCTTAAGAACTAAAACAATCTGAAACATTAACATGAAGGTCAAGAATGTAAAACAAGATATTATTATGGCTCGAGCACACTTCAAAAAGTCTATGGTAAAAGTCTGTGATAAAAAAAGTCATCCGAAAGAAGTTCCTCAATACTAAGCTTTATCTAGCAGAAGTTTTTTTTGCTCTTTTTCAAAACTGTTTGTAGCATGTTAACTTTCTGATTGAAAGGGGGAGATGATTGAAATATTTTTGCTATTATAAAGAATCAAATTTTTAATTTGTGCTGTTGATGGGATAGGAAGAGGAATATTGAATGTGAGACGAGTGGCATAACTTTGAGTTGAGTTCGAGATGTTATCTTTGTGCATTAAGCAAACTGTTTCTAAAATAAAGAGGCAGTAGACTGTTAACATGTGATGAGTTAAAAAAGGGGCTTACAGGAATCTTGGACTCTAGCACTGGTAATGAATCTCACTGCCCTTTTCTGAATAGTGAAAACTTGACTCATTAAGTATTGAAAGCTGCTCTCCCAGAAACAAACTCCGTACCGCAAATGGGATTTAAAAAGTGCAAAGTATGCTTTTTTAGCAGTGATAGTCCAAAGAGTTAAAGATAGACCTTATCGCATAACAACTTGAGGATAATTTTTTGCATAGTACACTAATATGCGTTCCAAATTTTAATTTGTTGTCTATGTTGAGGCCTAAAAATTTGTGCTCTAGTTTATGATCAATGATGTGTTCTTCAAGAATTATATGGTCCAGGTTACATTTATAGGACATTATATTAGTCTTTGATATATTGAAAGATAATAAATTGGCATCACACCATTGTTTAACTATATCATTCTCTACCCTAATTTTTTAGTGCATCAGTGCTTCTTCCGTGCCAATATATAGACGTGTCGTCAACAAAACTTGTGAATTTGCCTTCTGTTTGGAACCTTTGGTGTAGTAATGAATATTACTGGAGGAATATTACAAGGAGTTATAAGTAACCAAACCGTTATTCTTAACTCCTCGATACGTGTTCCAATCACCAAGTGATCATCTTCAAGAGGAAGTCATGTGTTGCAGTCACTTGGTGACTGCAACACGTGTTGAGGTGTTAAAAATAACGATTTGGTGTTGGGACTAAACTCCAGTAATAATCATAGATTTACCTATCAATTATTTGAATTTGATAGAAACTTTTGAGAATCGATTAGAAAATACATGTTTCAACAAAACAGGTTTGAAAAAGGAATTTGAATATGCACAAAACATGTGGGAAACTTTCTGGAATTCAGGCTTTTTCGTTACAAAATCTGTTACAAAAATGTGGATTCAAGTTTTAATTGGGGTTTATTTCGAGAGGGGATCAATTTTTTGAAAAGAAAGATTTTCGCTTTCTATTTTTCCATCGTTATACAAAAAAAGTGGGAATTTTCTTAGAAAAGAAGAAAGCAATTGATAACAGATGCGTAGATCATGGAAAGAAGTATCTTTCAGGCACAAACTGGAAGAAAAAGCCCCCTCGAAACAACTACTTTCATATAAACATTGATTTTCATAAATGAAAATATTGTTGAAACAACTTTTATATGAACATTGAATTATACAAAAAGTACTTTTTCTATTAGTTATTACTCCGCACAGTCGTTATGGAATTGAATCAGATGTCATTCACAGGATTGCTACACAATACAGTATATGAAAGAGGTGAAATTTCACTTACCTGACACACTGTCATCCTCAATGGCGGACATTCAATGTTTTGTAATAAGATACTTGCCTTACTGCCTCTTCAGCACCAATCTAGATAACATTACAAGATGAAGAGTGTTTCTTGAATACTTTATGAATTTTCATCAAGTATCGCCCGATTCTTTCACATAAATTTATAAATCATGACTTTATGCCACGAATGAGTTACATCTACTCATGTCATCAATGACGGTAGGTAATTACATTCATTCGCTTATTTGATTTAAACCCAGTCATAGAAATCCTTTTTAAATTGAAATAGCTATTTTTAGGGAACGGTTTCGGTTTCCTACTTCTTTATACATTTTTGTAAAGCATTCATTTTAAAGTTGATTGTTTTCTTCCTTTTCTTGTCAGATTTCCAGATTGTATAAAGATGGAGGAGTAGAAAGCCTTTCTTCACCAAAAATTTTTCTCTTCCAAAAATATACTTACCCCTTACAAATTATTTTTTGATAATTTTACTCCATCTCAAACTTCATTGAAAGCTCATCGTGTATAGATGTATGTTCTATGTGCACCTCGTCTTATTTCATGAAGGATCCAAAAGCGTAAGCATGAAGAAAAAGTCAGAAGCAACCGTTTTCATAAAAATATATTTAAAAACATTTGCAACCAAATTGATTTGTTTGGTGACAAAAACTTGATTATGGTATTAGGTTAGTCACATTGGTATTGTTCAGAGCTAGTCATATTGACATTCTTATGCTCATTTCATAAAATAATACATGAGCTTTCCGGTTCTGGAGGCACTACTGGTATCTCTTGTACAATTTTCGACTTGGTGAATTCTATCAACTCATCCTTTTCCACTAAAAACGATATAATTATATTAGTCTCGACAGTTAACTTGAAATTTCAGAAAACACACTTCAATGTGAAATTTTCACTTGAAAGTGTACAAAACCGCAACACGTGTTTCGCTATACGGTAGCATCTTCGGGCGTGGAGTACTGTGATGCCTGAGAATGCTATTGTGTAGTGAAACACGTGTCGCGGTTCTGTAAACGCAGTGGCGTACACAATGGCCTCGGTGGGACGTGACAATATTTTTATGGAAATGATCCACAAAACGTCAATGAGAAGTTTCCTAGGAAATCTTCAATCTTCTATAAGATTGAATTTGATATTGGTGCCTATGTCAATTATTCAAAAACCCAAATAGAAGTGAAAATACTTACGCAAATAAGAAGCAATAACAAGGGGATTGTTATCAATTTGTTTGATGATATTTTCCAAACGTCCTTGAATATTTAAATAAGTATCATCATGCATATTATCGATGAGATTCAGTTTTTTGTTCCAGAAATATTCTATTTTCTTTTTCGATATCTTCTCTTTATAAAGTTTCAAAATCTGAAACCAATAAAGTGGATTTTTCGCATTCAGTAAATAAAACGTTAATAATCTTGAGGGAATGAATTGGGAGTGGGTTAACTTTTGAAATTTGCCTGTATCTGTGAAGGTAAGGTGGGGCAATTGAAGAGAATAATAATGAACAAAAAATAATATTGGTAAGGATATACATCTCTGAAAGTTACCTTCTCTTTATGTACAGTATAATCATTTTTCATCAGAATAATCTGTTTGAAATCTCTGTTTAAAATCTGTTTTTCTGTTAATCATTTATTATTGAACTCTTTGTTTTTTTACGATTTCCATGTTATGAATGGCAAAACATATATTTTTCAAAACTTTTTGTAGGCAGAATTAGAACCTCTGCCGAAAAATGGATCTATTGAAAATACTTTTTCCATATCAAGACTAAAAACGGCACGCTTTACAAAAAAAGGTCAAATGATCAGAACTATTTCAAATGCAATACCTTATCAAACACATCATAATTGAAAATTGCTGCTGTGGAAAATTGAATTAAACTAAGTCTTATTTCAAGTAAAAGTCATCACTTCTGTAAATCCACTAGCGCTAGTAGAATTGACATTTGTTCTATATTTTCGGAGATATTACATTTGTGAGTTTTAGGTGCGATGCCCAGTATATTTTGCTTCTATGGAGATGATTTGAAAAGTGGTGCGACTTTCTTTCCGTCAAGTATTTTTATTTTACTTACATGCATAAACACATAGCTCAGCGTCTTATCATAGGAGAAATGCTGTGGGTTTTCTAAGACTTCCCACAACACTATCGTTTTCAAGTGGTAACTGTCAATTGGTTGTTGCAAAGTATTCCGCATTTTCTGAAAAAGTAACATTGTGTAAAAGAATTTAGTGACTGCATTTCAGCCAACAAATAAAGATGATTTTTATTAGCCAATAGAAATGTTGACTATTTATCTAAATAAAAATATAATTTTTCCTCTAAACGACAGTTATGTCCAAAATAGAAACCTTAAAAAAAACACAATATTTTCTAAAACTCACTGATGGATTTTCACAAATTCACATCCGGCTTCATTCACATGTTAAATTATAAACTGATATATCTGACACCAAACTTGTCTTCATTATTTTTAATGTGCATGCTCAAGCTGTAAATCATGCCCGAAAGGAAATAACGCCGGCCGCCACTGGTAACCATAAACCAAACTTGATGCAGCTGAGAGCGTGGGAATATCCAATATTACCTGCCGCCCGAGAAGCAGTAAGAAACATGCTATGAATGTCGATGGAACTTCGGCGAAATTCTACGATGTTCCATTGCGATATTTAAACGCTGGCTGCAAGCGTATTTGGACAGTTAGTTAGGGAAGCTATGGATTATGCTATAGACGACCCCTCTCGATATAGAAGGCCCCGACACTCTGTCGAATGAGGCCCTCATGTCCCCCGTTAAAGGTTGAACAGATCTTTCATCCATCCCACCCCAGCCAGGTAGGGGTACACTGTGAAGGGCGGTACTGATGTCTGAGGACTTCATGCCGCGAACATCCCCTCAGTCATGAACCCATTTATCCTTCTTCGACAATAATCAGCTGAAAGGGTAAGGGAGCTGGGCTCCAACTCGTCTGAAACCAAGATGGCTGTCAAGTATTCGGACAGTCAAGTACACAGTGAAGTGGACGTTACAGTGCGGTACGCGAAGTGATCTAGCAAGGCGATAGACATTGAAATGATAGTTTTTATTAAAATAAAATAAAAACAACAATAAAAATCAATTGGCGCTCCGGGGCGACTCCATTGATTCCAGTTGCAGGAAAACCAGGAAAAACCTGCAGCACCACATCATCTGAAGATCTTGATCTAACAATGTCCTCTCTCTTATAAAACAAAATGTAGGGTGTCTCCAGAGGCTCCAATAAATTCAATAATGCATCGCAAGAACACTTTGTGATACGACTATCGTCAAACTTAAACCAGTCCGTTTCGTCTTTGACCAAGGCGTAATAATGACCAAATTCAACGCCAGAACCACAGTGAACAATGACAGCATGAATACTATAATAGTGGTCTGCTAGGTTGAAATGTTCATCTATTTCGAACCTTCCAAAGAGTTTCTTGCTTCCGTTAGAGGTTGAGTCTTGTTTGAAGATCATCAGTGTTATTATTAGATTGACTGGTGCCTCAGCTATACTTGTTTCCTTATAACAGTCAGTTAGTTTGTCGCATGTTTGGCAATACAGTCGATCATCACCTGTTAAAAATTGAATTTTCATATGATTTAACAATAAGCTTTGCACGGACTGGTTATTAGTCATATTAGGAAAAGCTAGATGAAGTTCCAGAAATTCACATAAATATTCGCTACTTCTTGAATATTTACCACAAAGTAAACAAGTGAGGATTTTTCTAGCAAAAGATTCACAAACACAAGACGAGATGGGCTGTACGGAATCATTCAGTCCAGAGCGGTCAGGAGTATTAATTTTGCTATTGTTTTGCTCATGAAAAGTATTCAGCAAGAACCCCAAGAATTCGGAACAATCCTCTTTTCCTAACGAGTATCTAGTGGACTTCAAAGACTCCAGGAAATCAATTTTTAGTTGAAGTGTTTGTTGTATTTAAAGTAAAATAAAGTTAAGTTTAATTATTCAGTGTAGTCATTATTGGTGAACCCAAGGGTAAAAACGTAACACTATTATTTGTTTTGAGTCATGCGCACACTTTCAATTTGTGAGAAACTAGAAATATTCAAACTAGAACAGCCCAATATCAAAGCGTCATTCCATTAACTGCAAGTAACAATGACGTCATTTGCTAGCAAGCGTCGCGCTGTCAGACAACTTGTTAACATTATTGTTATGAATTAACCTCTGTCACTCTTCATTAATGAATAAGTAGTAGACTTGCCTCAAATATCGATGTATTGAATTTCCAGATCTTTCTCTATCCTTTAATCATCAATTTTGTTATAAAACAAGTGTTTTACTTCTGTAGCCGGTGTAGTAATATAGTGGGGATATTTTCTTCTCCGAAATTTGCATTTGCCTCTGAATTGTGGATTTGGCTTGCGTTTCTTGGTTATCCAGTTTGATCTCGCAGCATTAGTGCAATGGTTCTTTCTTCTTCTGCCCAGCCATTCTTAATCGGTTATTTCTTGCTAGAAGATTTGTTGTCGACATTTATGAAAATTAAAATCCTATTTTTCTGTTTTTTCAACACAATTTTTTGCTGATGAAGTTGTTTTAACAATCTTCTCTTTTTCTTTCCTGTTCTCTTCTTATTTCCATTCCGTTACTTTTCTGATTTTTGTTTCTCCTCTATCTTTCTTCCTTCCTTTCCTTTTTTTTAGACTTCATTAATTCTTTCTTTTTTTCTTCCCCTTCTCTGTTTTTCGTTGCATTTATTGTTCCACTTCCAGACATTTAAATTCCTTTTTCAGAAGCGATACTTGGTTGGGGTTCATGAGTATGACATTATTTTCTAGTAATTTCCGTGCAATTTCTTCGGATTCACTTACCACTGTTCTCTTTGTTGGAAAATTGATTTATTTATGTAAATAGTTCAAATCTACCAAGAATTGATTGTTTTATAGGGGACATTTGCAACAGTATATTTTGGTTTGCTAAATTTAGATATTGAAGACCTCCATCCGAGTTCTATGCAAATAAATACTAGTATGGTATAATTCTAAAGTAGTAAGCACTAAATTCTTAGAAATGACCGACGTTTTTGCCTTAATCTGTCTTGTGCAGTGGCGTACGGTAATATATTTATTATATGATGAAGTATACATTCCGTATCATGTGTTAGCCCCCGTCCCCTATCTAACTTGTTACTGGACTCTTGTTAGGAAAATAGCCGAGACACGTCGATTTTTTATTTCTACAATGTACATTTGAGTATCACTAATTTCATCCCTTACTGGAGGGGAGCAACCCTTTCGAAAAATTCAAATAGCATGGAATTTGACATGGACATTATTCTGCAACATGATGGAGCTCCTCCTCATTTTGCAGTTGCTGTGAGGACTTATTTGAAAACTGTTTATGCAGAACGATGGCTCTGGCGCCAAGAATTTGTGGCATGGCCTCCAAGATCACCAGATCTACCTCCTTTAGATTTCTTCCTATGGGGCTACCTAAAATCCCTATTTTTGCCAGGAGGTCAACGGGGGACATTTTGAAAATTTACTGTAATGACAAAAGTTAGTTTTAGTTTAGTTGCCTTCCTGTTTGTGGTGTAATTCCCTGCAAGGTTGAATAGAGAATAAAACCCCCTTTCAAATGAGCTATTACTCATCACCCCATGTTATTTATATTTTTCCAGTGAGGGATGGAATTAGGGGTAAACTATTCATACAAAAATGTACACTGTAGAAATAAAAAATCGACGTGTCTCGGCGATTTTCCTAACAAGAGTCCAGTAACGAGTTATATTAGGGGGGGGTAACACTTATGATGCGCAATGTATAGAATCACACTCTGAAAAAAATGTTCCCGTTTTAAAGTAATAATATAATAAAGCAAATAATAAATATTTGATTCACAGAAATATATTTTGGACTGTATACCTCGAGAATTTTCATATGCATCATCCTCTGAAAGATATACTGACCTTAAGCAATTTCAATGCTGGTTTCAGTTTTTCCTTTCCATGTATTATACTCTTCTCTTGTGCTTGAAATGACAAACGCCAATATCGGCTTGGATGATATTGGACGGATTTTGGCAATTTTGGCACAATAAAGAAAAAACCGTCCCCCTGCAAAAGTCAATCCAAAACTTTTATTTTTAAAATACTGATATGATAGACATCCATTTATGAGACTGTGTATGAGGAACTGAAATGATTACTAAGAATATTTTGAAGAATCGATGTTACTTTTGAACAAGATATGAATCACTCATTTTTCAAAGTGATGTATAACTAAAGTGACCAGACGTCCCGTTTTGAACGTGACTGTCCCTTTATTCGACTATCTGTCCCGTTGTCCCCAAATGATGATCTGGGACGTAAAATAGCCCCGTTTTCTTATTCTTCTCTATTCTTCACAATACTATAAAATCTGCTACAGATGGCCTACCTTTAGATTACGAAAGCATTAATGTAAAAATGGAGAGAGTTTTGAAAATGTACCAGTCATTAAAGAATTATTTTTTGAGCATTGAAAAATGTCCCAAATCAATAAAATACTTTTTTGAAGATCCTATATCTGAATTATGGCTTTGTTTTTTACATGCTCAGTCAGCAAGTTTTCGCCAAGCTGTTTTGAAGGTTGAAGGTCAAACTGTATTGGCAATTGACGCTGCAAACGAAATCAATCAACTAATTCAGAATTTGATTCAGAAAGAAACCAATCAGTTTCTTCCATTTACTGTTCGTAATTTGTTCATAAAACTGAAAGATGATATTTATGAAGATTTTGTGAAAAGAACAGCTACAGAATTTTATAAAACAAGTCGTGAATATTTGGAAGAATGGACTAACTTTCTTACTAGAGAAATGGAGATATTTTATTGGGCAGATTTAAGAAAAGTACCTGCGTGGGAAGATGTACAGAAAGCATTGAATGTATTGATTGAAAAGAGATATTGAATATATTTTATGTCTGCCTGGTACAAATGCTTCAGCAAAGAGAATATTTTCTTTGATAAATCAATTGTGGACGTCTGAAAAAAATAACTTGCAGGTTTCAGTTCTGAAGGCGATGTTACTAACGAAGATCAATACAAACAAAACATGCCAAGAATTTCACTCTTATTTGAAATGATCGCCATCCAAAAAATATAAATACTACTAAAAAGATAATATGTTGCATATAATTTAATAATTACTGTCACATTAACCACTGTCGAGGTTGAGAGGAACAACAGGTTATTTTTATCGCCCTCAGATAAAAATAAAATGAACTTTGCCTTTTAGTTTCCTGTAATAAAAAATTTTGTATTTTGTATTACCTAATATTGGAAATAATAAATACGAATTATTATTATTATTAAAAGGTGCTTTAATGAGTCGATACAGTATGGAGTATGGTCCATACATACATACATACATACATAGAACATTCCTATATATACTCCGGACTTGAAAGCCTATCTTCTTAAATTATCTAAAAGAATAATTCGTTCAGGCCATTCTCAAATGTCCTATTTTAAAAAATCTGTTTTTCCGTTAACCAGCTGTCCCACCCCTACGAACGAAAACCCTCAGAAGTCGAAACTTGTGCGAGCTAAGGATTAACGAGCTCTTACCTATTAACGTGTGATTCCTAACCTACATTGTAGGTTAATGGGCAGACAACTATCAGAAAACAACTACTCCCCTGGCCAATACCACAAAGGGCATTGGATTATATCCGACTGGTGCCAGTGCAGGATTCTTTACTGAAGTTATTCCTGCATATGCTGTTAGAGATACAACTGCCGCAATCGATTTGCAATTATTGGAACAAACTTGCAGGCCGGTTTCGGCTGCTTGGCCACTTGTCAGTGCAAGGTAGTGTCTATCATCAAGTCGTTGATTTTTGATAGTCAAATTTCTTCAGAGTATCATTCCTCGAACTGGGCTGCAGCGGACAACAAACAACATGTTTGTCATCGCCCCATCTGCTTGTGAACGAGGTAACCAACCGCATATCCGAAATTTGCCCAAATCCTCGTATAAGGAAAAAAAATCACAAAATAAGTGGGCATACTTGGAGACTGGGTGTAAATCAAATTATTTGTCTCAAATTACCTACACTCTAGTGGCTAAACAGCCCAAAACCGGTCTGCAAGTGTGTTCCAATAATTGAAAGTCAATTGCGGCTGCGATTGCCAACAGCATGTGCAGGAATAACTTCAGTGAAGAATCATGCACTGACACCTGTCGTATATAATCCAACGCCCTTCGTGGTATTAGTCAGGGGAGTGGTTGCTTTCTGATAGGTATCAGTCTCCAAGTCCACTCATTTTGTGAAGCCTATGTTCTTATACTGAATGTTTTGTTATTACTTCAAAACTGCGAATTGTATTTATACTGAGTATTGTATATATACTTTTTTCATAATTTCGAGTCATAATTTTAATTATTACAAATATAGAGCATAGAGTTTCTATTTTCAGTTCATGTACATATTTTCGATGAGCAACAAAAAATTAACTACTAATCTGATATTATAATTGCAATACGACAAACACGAACAAATATGAATATCCATCCTATTATCAATTAGTAGTGCTAATTATTATTACTGAAGTATCAAAAACATCTACTTGTGTAGTAATGTTGAAAGGTATTATAAAATATTTATATACATTGATACTTGAAAACAGTTACAATTATCATAACTAACCGCCTTTCTAAAACTAATACTCTCAACAGGTGTAACTATCAAACCATATGTTGTTCCAAATAAAAACGTATTGATTGAAAATGAAATGGACATTTGAAAATGTATTTACTATAATTGAACGAGATTTCATTTTGAAATATTTCTTTTCTCATACTTATTGAACAATATTTGTTTTCGAGAACAAGAGAACATTTCGAGAACAAGAGTTTAGATAAATTTCTCTCAATGTTTGAGATATTTTAGGACCTCATCAGTTATTGGAAAGAATAAAAAAATACAAAAGCACGTTCCCTATTCTTTCTCAAAATATCATCTGGCAAGACTACATCATACTAAACGTACATACCAAACATGGATTCGGACGATAACCTCCAGTAGGCCAGCAGTCGCTTCCAAACTTGATACATGTAACTAAATCTATATCCATTACGATAATAAAACCATCAATTTCTCCTCTTATTTTTAGCGTGAAAGCAGGACCTGCTTTACAATAGGTAATCTTGAAAAAAAAATTAGAGGTTAGTAAATATATATTTCAATGTATGGTTGTTTGTTGCCTGTCTAAAAAGTGTTGACAGGGTCATTATATATTACCCGAAGACTGGAAATTGGTATTTTTCGCCATTTTATTCTTTTAATTTTCACCATTATTCATCTTTGTTTTTTCAATTTTTTTATTTTATTTTCAATTTTTGTATATTACTGTCACTTTATTTATTGCTAATAACATCTCTTCATAACCCGTAATGATAAAATAGAATTGGAGGACAGTAAAAATTTCAAAATAGGTTTATTCGAATGTGGTTTAGAATGATTCTCAAGGAATGTTAGATATTCTGACTTCCATTAATGAAAACAATGCTGCAATATTACTCTACCTATCAAATGAATTGTTATCAAAAGAAGTTGTAATAATCTTGTTGGTTTTTGTTTCGAACTCATTTGAAATGTTGGGATCTCGCTATTCTTGAACAATGCGGCAAGATAGGTACTTTAATGCAATTTTTGAAATACGCTGTTTTCAAAATATAGGGTGAATTTTAGTTTTTCTCAAAAAATATTAATTTATTCATCAATTTCTGTTCTGTCCCCGTCAAAGTAGTTCCCCTCAAATATAATACACATGTGCCAGAGTTTGTAGCTCCTCAATCGTCCCAAACCCCGTCCTTTCATGGGTCTCATCGAACTCGGAAACAGAAAAAAGTCGCAGGGGGCCAAATCTGGTGCATACAGTGGCTGAGACATGATTACAGTGTTGACGTCATTCAATAATTCCTGAGCGATGCCTGTGCGACGGTTTTCTAAATCAAAATTCAGCAATTTTGAAACAAATTTCGCTGCCTTACACTTCGTGCCCGAAATTTCCGAAAAAATTACATGGTATGAACCAAGCGATATGCCAATATCCTCAGAAACTTCTCTAATAGTGATTTGACGATTCTCCATAACAATTTTCTTCACTTTGTCAACATGTTCATCGGTTGTTGATGTGCTGAGGCGTTCAGGGCGAGCGTCATCATCCATATCTTCTCGACCTTCTGTGAAAAGCTTGTACCTATTTTTCTGACTAAGAGTACAATCACCATATGGCACTGTCAACAACGATAGCATTAAATCGCTGAACACGCATAACACTTCTAACTTTCATGCCTTTCACCAACAAATTTAACATGCTAAACAACTGAAACTGAATATACGTTCAATACGAGTTTACCAACATAAAAAAAATAAAAAAATCGCTATCTATTGACAAATAATGGGCGACATGGATCCCTGTAGCTAGCCTTGCATAAATATCTAATGGATCTTTTTTGTAAAGAGAATATCACATTGAAACGAAATTGTGCACAATTTCCCCAAAAACAAATTCCATAACGTAAATAGGACTCAATTTGTGCAAAATAAACTGATCATGTGATAGTAGTGTCTAACTCTCTTGCAACAACTCTCACTGCATGACATCCTGCTGCTAGTCTTTTACATAAGTAATCGACATGGGAATCAAATTTTAGATTTTTATCAATGAAGAGCCCTAAAAATTTGTTCATCTCCAAATTTTCAATTTTTACATTTTCCAAGTGTACTTCCCCTATGTTACATCTAAACGTGACCACATTTGTTTGTTTTGTTGATGTTGAATGATGAAAGATTGGAATTACACCACTCTTTCACCCTTCCTATGTCGATAAGTGAAAACAAGTTAGCATAAGTTAACATAATTTTGTTTCCCCCTCTCTATTACCGAAGTTGTCTTCAGCTATTTCTTATATTGAAACAGATAAAAAAAGACACTTACAAAAATATTATGTGGCGAGTCATAAGTAAACTCATTCAGTGCCTTGGTTAGTACTCCATGAATCCAATTCAAAATTTTTTCAGTGTCGAGATAGTTGGTGTCAGATTCACAAAATCGAGCAAGTTCCCTGTAAAAAATATCTAAAGTATCATTCATAATTAATGTATTGTGTTTGTATTGATATTTTAGTTATGAACCCGAGTTCGCTGACCCAGCATCGCTTAGGGATGGAGTTACATCCGCTGTTCCAGCCGCGACTACATGCTAAGTCGACAAAACAAAGATCATAAATAAATGTTAATTTATTGCCCGAAATGTAAACGTTGAATTCTTCTAAAGTCTTTTACAGCAATATCTGGTATCATCTATTCAAATGCGCTTGGTTATTGTGAATATTTAAAAATTGAAAATGGGGAATGTTCTTTCTGACGAAAATAAAGTAGTTTTCATAAAAGAGCTCTAAAACAACGCATTTTAAACTTATCATTTCAATCTTTTTCTTTAAAAATTATTTAAATACTTAAAAAAGAGGAATCAAATAATGTATACAAGCTCTGCTTTCGCGATGTTCTGTGTTGGTGTTTATTTGTATATTATATATAATATAATCGATGTAAATTAGCATGTGAACAATTGTCATTTTGTGAACATTATTATACAGACCTAACCTAACCTAACCTAACCTAACCTAGCTTCAATCCGACTCAAGACGTACATCGAAACTAAATTATAAAAATGATAATTACAAAATAAACTACACAGTAGACAGTTACAAACTTAATTTGATGGATAATTAGTTCTTGTAAAACAGGTAGCTTTTGAAAAAACAACTATAATACAATTTTACTTCTAGGAAAACAGGTAATTAATGAATATGTTGATTATTGACTCTTTAAGGAAACAATGGTGAGTGGACAACAACAAGTGATTTCCAGAGACTCCGGCAGGTTTAATTTTTGTCCTTGGGACTGTTTGAAAAGTTTTTTGTCAAAGATATATGATGAATCATCTTCGGGTTGAAGTTATTGTTTACTGCAATTTGTTTCATCAAATGTATTTCATTATTAAAATTATCTGTGGATAACGGGATACTGATGAGTCTGTGGATCATGCTACTGAAAGCTGCTAATTCATGTTGACGAAGAAGATTAGAATGGCTATTGATCGTTGTGTCTGTATAATAATGTGAATATTACGATCACTGTATGAGTATGTTATTAAAATTATTATTGAAATTATCTGTGGACATCGGGATACTGATGAGTCTGTGGATCATGCTACTGAAAGCTGCTAATTCATGTTGACGAAGAAGATTAGAATGTCTATTGATCGTTGTGTCTGTATAATAATGTGAATATTACGATCACTGTAAGTATGTTGAGAAACTACCAATATTCAATTCATCAAGTTTTTTGTTTTTCTTGAAACTGCACTCATCTGATTATTAGAAGACAAATTGGGCATAACCATGGAAAGGGATAGAACGCTTTTTATACCTTTAGACAGTAATATCATTGTATAGGTTAGTCTATATACAAAGGTAATATACAGCTGCCGGACTGAGTCATGGCCGGTGACTGCCTTTTATATATCTAGAAGAACCCAAATTACATTTTAACATTCATTTATTGTTTAACCCGCAATCCCTACTACGTAAAATTCCAAACAAAAGTTTCTATTCCTTTTTTCTTTGTCACACGGACCCAAACTTTACGCAGATACGATTTTTCCCAACGGTCATGACTCAGTCATATACTTTGGCTTTAGAGCGGACACATAAGGATGTGTGCGTGCGGCAGGCCTTGTTTTTGTCATTCTATGGAATACATCCAGCATGGATTTTCCTCAGAGACGCAGTGTTTAACAATGTAGTTCATCAGGGATCGTATTTTTTGCCTGAATACACGTGCGGTGATGTCGTGTCCGGGACTTGACGTTTGTCCGGGATAAAATATCATATTTTTTTTACTTATTATCGTGAAAAAAACCATTTTTAACCTGATTGATTGATTATCACTTACTCTTTATTTGTCAAGATAGCATGGACGTATCCTGGCACAGTACTTATAACAATTTTGGCTAAGTTCTTGGGCAAAACTAGCAACATGTCTATATCGTACTCGTCTGGATGCCCTACCTTCAATCCGTCATAGTAACTTCCCCCATAATATATCGTAGAGAAAAGTTTATCGAAGAGAACGTTTTTCCTCATTTTCTCCACAACTCCCCAAATAATCTGCAAAAAAGTGTTCATATTTATTGTATTTCACTTGCTTTCAGTATGAAATGATCAACAAATAAAATGCATGAATATCCCTAGTGTGATCACTTGGAATCATGTAAAATATTTTGTCAAATACGAGCGACAGACTTTGACTCTTGCACCATCTATCAACATGTGTACAAAATTGAGTCAATCTCATTTCTCGCGTCGAGAGTTTTCAAGAAAACAAAAGCGAATTGGTAAAAACACCAGGGTTTATATGCATATTTTTAACGATTAGTGCAACTGTCAGAGGATGATACAGGGTGGGTCATCGTAATCGTACCATAAGACGTAACTGCCAGAGAAACTATTATCAAAAATACTTTTTAAAATCGGCCACCCGTTCAGAAATGCCCATGAATATTACTTAAAAACTTATCGTAATCGTGTTGAACAACGAAAAGCTGGTAACGTTGCCCACCAACATCCATACAATGATAATTCGTCCTTGCAGGTATTCCACTAAAACAGGAAGTGCGAATAACTTCGTTTTTCATAAGTGTTCACAAAACAAATCCAAAGGACTCAAGTCGGGTGGCCGAGAAGGCCAATGAATCGCAATTCTTCATCCTATCCGGCGACCTCGAATCTTGCTGTTTAAATGATTTCGCACATTTTGTAAGAAATGCGAAGGAGGACTGATTCGTTGAATCATGGGTTTCCACAAAATAGAATAACAATTATGCATGATACTTCTGTCAAAATTTCATCATTTCATGTTCAAAATGTGATATTCGAATGTATTCAATGGTTCACAACATGTTTTGATGATTCAAATTAGGTTAAATTATTTGGTTGTTCTGATTATTAGAGTCCTTGGTGGAATGATGCCTTCTCTACTTTCGAATCCCAAAATTATGCCGGACAAATGCAGAGTGCTGTCATTCTTGGCTCACTGCGCGTGCTTAGGGCACATGCTTTTTCGGACCCAATGATCACTTACCCCACGGTGTGGCGAGTGGTCATTGGTTGATAATGCTGGCGCGCCCTCACGAATGTATCGGGGCTTCGGGGGATAAGGCCCGACCAGCGCAACCTTAGACAATAATCTAATATACAGGGTGTTCCTTAAACACATGCTAATATTTAAGGAGGTAATTCTTAGACCCATTTTAAGGAAAAAACGGCCTATGACGTATGTCCTAAACGCCTTAACTTTTGAGATACAGGGTGGCAAAGTTTTCAAAAATAATCAGTTTTTTAATAATAACTGAGATAATTTTGTAGACATTTATCTGAAACATATCTACATAAAAAATATGGCGCAATAAATGTTGGAATTTGATTCCTTCCATTTCGAGACATTTTTGAACTCGGTTTTTCAAATTATTTATTGCCCTTAACACACTTATTTGCTGCATTGTTGCGAAATCATTCAAAATCCTCAATCTCGAGTCTTTCACCTATCTATCTGTCTGCCAGCGTAAATCCTATTTTTAAATGTCCCCCATACAAAATAATCCAAAATAGTAAGATCTGTTGATCTTGCAGGCCATTATATTGGCCCAGTATTTGTCTCGAAATGGAAGGACTCCAATTCGAACATTTATTGGGCCATTAATTTTTTTGTGTATATAAATTACTTCATTTCAATTTTCATTAAAATTATAGTGTTGGTTTTGGATGTTATTATTGCTATCATTTCTTTTTCTGCCTATCGAAACACATATAATATATTTTTGTTGTAGATATGTTTCATAAAAGGTTTTCTTATTCAAAGTTCGTTGTAGAAAACGCTCAGAGAAATGGAAATATGAAAAAATATGAATGGTACCTGAAAATTAAAAAAATATCTCTAAAAACTCTATGGTATGTAGGGAGACGTAAAATTTGCCAATGTGTTTTTATTTAACTCAGTCAACCAATTTTCAGGACCGTAATTTGAAAGGGAATAATTCACCCCATTATAATCAAATATTACCGAAACATTCTCAAATATAAAATAAAATTCAATTTCTCAGTATGAAGTGAACATCTACGATCCAAAACCTACAACAAAAGATACAGGTCCGCATTTAGAAATTCAAAGAGTGGGGTGGCCCAAGTCAGATGATACCCTGTATAAAAAATTCATGGACATATTCTGATAGCCCACATCAAGTGACACTAGCAAAATGTGGACAGATTTTCAATATGTCTGCGAATAAAGATGATATAGGCAAAAAAATAATTTAGGAATTTTTGGTTTGGCTTGTATATCTCCAGAACCAAAAGAGCTTTATTCGATTTTTGGACTTGAGTAGGTCTCTAAAATACGCAACTTTGCCGCAATTTAACCAACACTCTATCTCTTATCGTTTACGAGATTCCCATGTACAGAAACGAATTTGAATAGCCCTGTATATGAATTACGTGTCACGTTATTCGTCCGCGATGGACTCCTAAACTACTTAACCGATTTTATTCAAATTTGCACACCGTTTGCAGTATGATCCAACTCGAAAGATAGGATAGGTTATATCTCAATTTATAGTCGCAATATTATTTTATTGCGAATTATTTGTCTATTATTTGACATTCACAATTATCTGTTAATTCCAAACGATTTTAACAGTTGGCGATATCTGTTGACTGGATTGAGTAAGTAATCAATAGATGGCGCTGCTACGTTAAACCTACAAACGTGTCATACAAGCTACAACTCAATAGTATAAACACAACGTGTTGTGGAGCCTAAAGTATAAGTTACATTTATTTTGTAGAAAACGAAATACCGTGAAATTCAATTGTTTTTACTTTACTTTACTCATATATCTATGACAAAGTAATACAAAGCTCCCCACACTTTTTCAATAGTTGTACTTTTTTTTTCTTCGCCATATTATTATGGCGAGGTGAGGAAACACTTCAGCGCAAATATTTTCCGAACAATTACTAGATATTGGGAGCGGTAAAATAGAACTGCAACCAAATACGTAATGCATTAAACTGCCAGACAATTTCTGCACTGTTCTTCAGGAAAAAATGAATTGATTCAGAGTATTTTCCGGATATACAGAATAATTACTTGAATCATAACTCGCTCAGTCATCGGACTATTTTGGCAGCCAAAAATGTTGATGTTGAAGAAATTAACTTCCAGATACAACAGTTGTTACCAGTCGATCTGATGTCTTTTAAATCAATCGATACTGTTGTTGATGAAAATGAAAGTGTAAATTTTCCAATTGAATTTTTAAATTCACTAGATATACCTGGAATGCCACCACATAATCTTCAATTAAAGATTGGTTTCCCTATTATTCGTACGGTACGCGTCATCAAAAAGATCACTGGAAATATTCTTGAAGCAACCATTTTAACTGGGGAGTTTAAAGGAAAAGTGGTCCTGTTGCCACGTATTCCAATGATACCGTCAGATTCTACCATATCCTTCAGAAGGCTACAGTTTCCAATTCGTTTAGCTTTTGCCATGTCTATAAATAAGTCTCAAGGCCAAACAATGTCCATTTGTGGTTTAGATTTGGAAAATGCATGTTTTTCTCGTGGGCAACCATATGGTGCATGTTCACGTGCAGGGAAACCGTCGAATATATTTGTCTTAGCTAAAGACAGGTTAACCAAAAATATTGTGCACCGATTAAAATTAAAAGTATTCATAATTCAAAATAATAAATATTATTGTTAAAGATTTAAGACTATCTACCCTACCTACCTCATTCATAAGTTTAAGTGTCACATGTTATATCCTAACAACTTTGTAATATACTCATTCGTTACAAAATTGAATAAAAATAATAAATTTCAAAATTAATTCATTTGTATTGATTTTCGCTTAATATCAACTGTACGAAAATTTTAATCAATCGTGTTCAAAGTCCTTCCCCTTCAAATCCCAATCCAGTGGATTTTTATAATAATTTCATTGTACTAAGGGGTTACGGTAGTAGAAAATCTGTCATGGAGGTCGCCATATTTTTTTTACAAATGGCATCTATGTAAAAAGCAGGGTGGTCCCCGTGACTGATGTTCTCCTACCGTTCCTCTTAAATAGTTTACTACAATGTAATACAACAAAAACCTTAGCCACAGCAACGCGTGGCCGGGTCTGCTAGTAATAATAATATTTTCCTGTTAGTCAGTGGTTTATGCTTGAAGACTGGCAGTAACCAAATCTAAAGAAATGAACTTTAAATGTTCAAGCCAGTCTCGGATATACCTACACAGTAGGTTGAATGGACTAACGCCTATCAGAAAACAACTACTCCCCTGGCTAATAATAATAATAGGTGTCTATTTCCCATGAAAAATATATCACAATGAACAACACAGAAAAATTACTGAATCAGGTGAAACACATCTTCGTTATGAAATTTTATTTGATATGTTATTGAAACTGAAACTCAACAGTGGTCTGAGAGTCCCACGAGAATCCCATTTATATTTCATGTTTATGTCAAAGTTATAGAATGAATCGAGTGAAGCTAAGTACAATTTTTTAAAATAACTTACCTTTTTCATAATAACATTATTTCTTCTCACCTCTTCCAGAGGCAACTTGACATAATTCTCGTTTATCGCTTGAAGCGTATTTTCCATTATATTGTATTTTTTTACTTCACTCATGGTTTATATAGTTCAGCTGAAACAGAAAATAATTTCAAGATTCAAATTAGAAATAAACGTGATTGTAGGTTTCCAAAATTCAATTTTTTATTCTACTACTACGAAATAATCTAGATAAAAAATGACGTGTTTTTCAATCAACGTGATACGCGTAGAGATATCGATATACAAGGCGATCCATGATTATTTTGTTCATTCTTCGATTTCAAAAAGAAAATTGTTTGAATGTGAAGACATTGTTTGAACGGGTTGGCAATGTTTTTAGGTGAACATTCACCAGTCACGAAAACGCTCGATTTTGAAAATATGCCTACAGTCTTAAAAAATGATAAGAAACAAACGATGAGCATGAAATGTTAGGTAAAAGTATAAGAAATGTTATGTTAGAAAAAAAAACAATTAATTTTACCTGAAATGGACGAATCATCGGTAAGTACATGAACTTTAATTTTTAGATTAGGAATTTAAAGTTATATGCCATCATAACTATCGCGTCTCGAATTTTTCATACATTGGCATGCTCTCATATATCAATCAATTAAATGTCGAGTTTGACAGGAAAATATTTACGCCGAAGTCGTTAAATATTCACATAATTTTCACAATCTGGCAAACATGCATTTGGTTTTAGTTGCATGTTGCGAGTTGCGCTTATGATCCGTGTGTCATTCAATATTTGTTTGTTGTAATGACGCATTCAGTGTCGAAACCAATAGTGTTTTTACATTGCTATTTTATATCAGAGAATCAAATAAATCGTTAAATTACCTCATATTTTTTACTCTACTCTTAGAATACCTACTACCAAAAATGAAACTGACGACTGATTTAGTATAAAAGGTGAATTTATGCACACTCGATTAGCAAGTATAACTAGTTTCTATAATCAATTAACAATGAGCAAGTAATAAAAACGATGGCATTCATTCATTACCAATAAAAAAGTCAATAAAGTAGGCGAGACTGCCCATCAGTGAGACACAAAAAATGTTTCAGCTATAATATTGGAATGTATAGTAAAACCAATAATGATTGAGAGTAAAGCGCGTTGTCATATCTAAATTTTACGTTACCAGTTTATAGCAGAATCAAAATAGAGTAAGCAGTAGAGTTGTAGGTTGTGGCATAGATAATACACAATACTAGTACGATTAAAAGGTATTATTTATGACAAAAATCAGTAATGAGCTTGTAATGAGTAATACTTATACATTTCCTGATTACTGATCAGTTAAAATTCATTATTTTCTATATAGTGTTAGATATTTATTACAACTAGTGGCAACGCTGTACGCAACGATATTTCTGTCTTTGTCACTTTACCGTAACTTCC